GAAAACAAGAAATAAAATTACCCTTATTCACAGATGTAATAATTGTCAATGCAGAAAATCCCAAGAAATACTCACTAGACTAAAAAGTGAATTTAGCCAAGATAACAAAATACAGCTGCATTTCTATATGCTAGATATTAATAATTGGAACCTGAACTTTAAAAATACCCCCAAAACAATACCACAACATTTAAGTGAGAAAGTGGGAGAAAGAAAAAAGGGAAAAGTTATTTCTAAATAATACCTCAGGTATTAAGTAAATTTATCTGTCGAAGATCGTACACTATTGATACAAATAAAAATATCTAAATAACTAGAATACAGGTCTTTTGTTCATACATACATATAGTCCTTGTATTTAAAAGTAGGATGGGCCTGAGGGCCTAATGTTATTTCATTTTGGAGGAACGATCTTCTAAGTTATACAGCACTCTTCTGTCAGTTTGCTGTACTGAGGTAATCTGAGTCTGCTGTGAAGCTGAACCTTGTGCCTTTGGAGGTCAAATGCCATAATGGCTGCCTATGGTGGACAGTGTTTGGTGGAGCTCCCCTTTAAGACAGGTTTAGGAAGCAGGAGTGGCACCCACTTCCTAAGCCACATGCCTCTGGAAACTATGAATCTGGAGAAACAATGAAGGCTTCAGGCCTTTTTTTCATAGGGTTGCTATGATTTGTGCTCAACTTGAAGGCAATCAACAACAAACAAAATCACAATATACTATCATTATTCAGATACTGGAAGGTTTAGCACAGCAATACAGCAAGCAGGAGTGGCATCCACTTCCTAAATAACATTCCTCAGGAAAGTCGATGAACTTTGATAAATGTCGATTGTTGTAGAGGGGCTTTAGGCCTTTTTTTTTCATTGGGACTCTATGAGTCATTCTTGACTTGAAGGCAATCAACAACAAGATGAAGGTATAGATTTAATAGTATTCTAACAACTACAGAGTTTCTCTTTTTTTCCCTTCTTTGACTATGAGACGATGACTCTAAAATAGATACTAAAAAAACAGAAGAACTTGACTAGTCTGAACAATTCTGAGGAGGAATAAAGTTTGAGGAGGAAACACACCGTCTGATTTTAAGATGTATAAAGCTATAGCAATCAAGATGATGTGATAATATGAAGGAACAGGGACATACGTAAATAGAAGATAACAGTAAGTCCAGAAATAGATTTCACACATATAGGGCCAATTGATTGTTTACTTTTGAAAACGCGCAAAGGCAACGGAAATGAAGAGAGCATTTTTCTACAAATGCTGTCTGAAAGTTTCTACCTCTGACATCAGATGCTTTCAAAAAGCAGCCTGAGAACACAAAGCAAAGTATTATAATGAAATATGTAACGACTTGAAAAAAATCAAGATAAGAAGACACTCAGTATTTCTTGAACTGAAAGAATTGAAGAAATATTCCAAGCCTTGGGTTGGGATGGCGGCTTGTTGCACTGCTAATCACAAGGCAGTTTAAATGCACTAGCCACCACTATAAGGGAGACACGGGCAGCATTCCACCTTGAAAGTTTACAGCCTTGTAAATCTGACAGAGTCACTATGAGTCACAGTCAACTCCATCGTAGTAAAAGGTGGGTAAAAGACCAAGCAGTAGAGAAGCATCAAGAAACAAAAGGAATGCGGAGAGTCACTATGCTGAAAACACCTGGTGAATGTTCAACTATCTCAAGGATTAGCCAATGATCAAGAACTTAGGATTGTGAAGGAAGAAATACAAGCTAAACTGAAGGCATTGGTGGCTATTTCAACAAACAGACAAAATGTTGTAATGCTCACTGGTCGGTGCTAAGAAATGTGGAAAATGGATACCAATTAAGTGGAAGAGATGCATGTCTGTGTCTACTTCAAAGAGCTGTGTCTATGCAGAACTTTTATATGGACCAAGTAGGTAGACATATGAACAGAGTACAGGGACACTGTATGACTTAAAATGTTATGTCTTTCCACCATACTTCAATCTGTGTACTAAGCAAAATAATCCAAGAAGCTGAACTCTAGGAAGAATAGGATCAGAGGAAGATTCATCAGCAACCTGTGAAATGCAGAAGACATAATCTTGCTTCTTGGAAACCAAGAGACAGTGAAGCTCAAAGATTGAAATATTTACTATGGAATACAACTTAGTATCAAGAAAACAAAAATCTCCATAAGTGATTCAATAAGCAACAACATAAAAACAGAAAAAACCAAACATGATGTAAACAAAAATCTCATTGTCCTTGGTCCACAATCAACACCGCCTTGGGTACAGCAGCCAAAAAATGAATGTGAGCTAACCTTCTGCAAAAGACTTCTTTTAAAGTGTTAAGAAGCAAAGATGTCACATTGAGGCTCAAGGCACACCTGGCCGTGACATTGTCAATTGTGTCCTGATTCAGCTCTTAGACAGCTCTTAGCCTCACTTAAGGGCAGGAGTTACCTGCACTATTAGGTTTAGTTAGGCTGGTGGGCTCTGGACTGGAAGAACAGCTCCTGTTTTCCATTTAGTAGCTCAAGGACCCTTCTACTTTACCTTTGTCTCTGGAGTGGTAGGGGTCCTATTTCTGGCTTCAACTGTATTTTGTCCTTTATCGTTAAAACTCATCATTTCAGTTACATCTCTGTCTCCTCCTATTCTCCCCTCCCCACCCCATGTTTCTGGAAGAAGGAGGAGTTTCTTTTGCCATACGTATAACTACGTTTGCATCTCCCAAACCTTAGAATGCAAACAAATCCTCAACATAGTAACTCCTCCCCACGCCAATAACCCTGTGGGTTACAATGATCAGATCCACAACTGACGATGGGATAGCAAAGGGCAGCAGCTTTTCACTGTGCACTGAGGACGCCTTGAGTCAGAGGGACCTTAGAAATGACTAAGCCATGGTTTCCGCTGTGCACACACTGAGCGTCTCAGACAGTGGTATGTACCCAGGGGATTCTCATGATGGGATTCTTTTGAACAGTAAGCATGAAGAAAGCTGAACTTCTATCAAGAAGACAAGTGCCCTTCTAGCTTGAGTACATATCAGACACTCATTTAATCAGCCAGAACTCTTTACCCAACAATCAAAGTTAACTTCTTCCATGAATCCACATACAAAGAAACCAAACCCATTATTGTCAATATGACTCATGGTAAACTTCTGTTGGTTTCCTTGGCTATAAGTCTTTTTAAAAATATTTTTATTTTATATTGGTTTGCTTACTTGGGTCCACAATCAACATAAGAACAACAAGTTCATATACATTGTGTTTCACAATATCTTGTATTCACACTGTGTTTCATGCAATCCTTCCCATACATTATGTTTTGTAAAACTAACCACCACTAAACTATGCCCACTATTAACCTGTCTTTCCAGATCCCTGCTGGATCTTTCTCATTTTCTTTACCCCTTCATCCCTCCACTCCACCAAACTGTGCTATGATTCACCCTGGCCCATTCTCACCCCTCTGTTTCCATCCTCCCCCCTTGGATCCTCATACACGTTTTACTAGTTATCTTTCCAGTTTGACAATAATGGTCTTATGCAGAATTTGTCCTCATGAGACAGAGCTAGTTCATTCAGCATAATGCTTTTCAGTCCAAGGCTATAAATCTTAAGGAGATTGTCCAACTTTCTTCAGCAGAGTAGCTGATAGATCAAACTCAGCCTTTCTAGTTTGTAGCCCACCATAGTGCTTATGAATCTATAAAGGTACTGTGGTTTCGTACCATCGAGTCAGAACTGACCCACAGCTGGCCCTCCAGCAGGGTTTCAGAGATAGTTAATCACACAGGAGGAGATTGTCCATCCTACTCCCATTAAACAGCTGGTGGACTTGAACTGCATGCCTTTGGGATTGCAGCGCAGCTTCTTGCCACTAGGCCACCAAAGCTTATAAAGTTACTAAACGATGTCATTCTTAAGGATTAACAAGTCCACAAATTAAATTAACTATAGAAAATTCATCATATCAATAGTACATGGTGTCTTTGGAGAGAAACCATTTATTTGTTCTAACATACAATAGAAATTTAAAATTAAATTTACAGAAACACTTCATGTATCCATTTCAATCAGGTCCACACAACAAATACATTAAACAAAAGTTATCAATAGAGAGAGCTACTGGAACAAAGTCAATACACATGTAACAAAACGTGTTTTAGAAATGGATCAGAGACTCTAGATCTACAAGGTTGATGAATAAAATTTCCACTTCTAGTCTCCCACTCTTCTCTTTTTTTCCCACATAGTAGTCTTTTATATGAATTTACAAGTGTTTAGACATATGTTTAGGAAATATAATAAATGTAATCATATAATAAAAGTATGACTACATATTATTATATTTTGGAGGACCATTCTGCTAAGTCACACAGCATTCCTCTCTCGATTTGCTGTACTGAGGTAATCTGGGTTTGCTTTGATGCTGAACCTTGTGCCACTGGGATGTCATGCCCTAACAGTTCCCCATAGTGGACAGTGTTTGGTGGAGCTCCCAGTATGAAGACAGGGTTAGAAGCAGGAGTGACATCCACTTCCTAAACCACATGTCTCTGGGAACGATATGAATTTGGATAATGACAAAAAAGAAAGGCTTCAGGTCTTCCGTTCATAGGGTCGCTATGAGTCGTGCTTGACTCAATGGCAATCAACAACATTAGAATTAGTCTGATGTGTCTGTAACCAGTTGTGCTGCTCACGCAGAGGTCAGGCGTCTCCGGGCCTTCGAGTCCATCAGAGGCTCTGCAGGAGAGAGATGGGCAGTCTCCTCTCATTGTCATTGACAGCCTCGTAAACGCAAGGCAGGGTTGCTCTGAGTTAGAACCAAATCAATAGCAATGAGTGAGACTAAGTTATTAAAATGTCAAAGTCAAGAAAAAGAAAAAGAAGAAAAAAAAAAGAATGAAATCTTCCTAAATTAATTTATTTAAAATATTGATAGGGGGCACAGAACATGTGAACTTTAAAAAAAACTGAAGAGTTTATTTGTGTATATGACATTCCTACCTGCTGAGGTTTCTCTAAATTTATCACTGGTCTTCTTTTTCCTCCATTTCCAAGGCTTAAAGATTTTGCCGATGGTGGATAATTTCCCCTTTCTCTTGAAAGGAGGTGTTTGGGAACCTGCTGTTGGGCCATCTGAGTTTGCTATAGAAGCTTTGTCCAGTCCATCAACTGCGTAAAGAAAAAAAAAAATAATGTTAGAGAAAGGCAGTAATGAAAGTCTGAAACAACATTATCTATGCCTTTCTGGGGTTGTTACTGGTGAACACAACTCCTCTTAAGTGGAATCTCATATAAAGTTTACTTTGTCCCATTTCCCAGCTAGCTGGAATCCCATGATATCATTCAGTAAATCAATTGATCAGAAATTATAGTCCCCTTAGGTATTCATTTTCGGGAAAAGGAAAACAAAAGAGTCTGAGAAACCCAGCTAAGTCCATCTGCAACAATTACATCAATATTTTGTGTACGAATAGAATATTCTAAATATTCTTGAAATAAGATGTTCCTCTAGAGACTGGTTTGGCCCTCTCAGCAATAAATGTAACAGTTATTGTTTAGTTCAAACCATGGTTTCATCTTCACAAAACAAAATTTAGTGCCAAGAAGCTAAACACTAATATATGGGGGGTTTTCCTTACAATGTTAGAACTACGTTTTTGCTCCAACACCAGAAAGCTTTCAGCTACAAATAAACCGACTACTAGCACGAACAGTATGATATACACAGGAAATGTGGGCATTGTGTACGAGAGAACACATGATTGTCTACCCCAGTCATTCTACTCACCAGAAGAAAGGCAAAGAAACCCTAAGTTGCCTTGTAGTATGTTCAAGAGAGTACAGAGAACTATCAAAATTTAATAGCTCACGTGTATATCATGTAGCTTTCATGTATTATTTTATTTTTAAAAAAAAAACCCTAGAAATAAACCAGTGTTATCAATAGATTGGATAAACAGACTATAGTATTATTCATTCAATGAAGTATCATTCTCCACTTTAAAAGAGGAGCAACTGATACAGTAACATGGACAGGGTTCAAAAACACTGTGTTAAAAATTAAAAACACCACCCCCCTCACCATGCACATGGTTCTATTTATATCAAATTCTAAAATAAGCAAAACTAACGTAGAAAGGAAAATAGGAAGAAAACATAATCAAAACAGTCTTTGCTTCTTGGAGAGAAGAGAAGGTAGGAATGGATTCAGAATGGGCTTGGGGGAAACTTCTGGTGTAACAAACGTGATCTCAAGAAGGTTTGATTACACAAAACTCATCAAGCAGTCTTCACAACTTGATCTTGGGCAACATGGAGCAGACTTTTAAAATTCTTCCTGTTAAATACAACTCCAAAGCCTGGGAATTTTGCTTTATGCATAAAGCAAACATGTTGTTGTTGTGTACTACGGAGTCAGAACTGACTCATAGCCGATCCTCCATCAGGTTTTCAGAGGCTGTAAATCACACAGAAGGAGACTGCCCATCCTCCCACACAGTGGCTGGTGGAGTCACACTGTGTGCCTCCGGGTTGGCAGCACGGCTCCTTACCACTAAGCCACCAGAGAGCTCCTTGGCTTGTGACTCAAGAAATGGCATCAGGTAGGATTCCTGAGTGTCCTTTCTGCTTCATGCACTTGTAGATGACGAAGCCAGAAGTTCAGAAATGTCAATGAACATAGACAAAAAACCGTCATCAAAAGCCTGTTCTTTCCAATCAACCAACCAGGAAAATGCTAAACAATAACTGTCGCACTTCAGCTGAACACCACAAAGGAAATTCTTGGCTAGCAGGCTGCCAGAGGCCGAGTGGGGAAGTGAGCCTTCCGCCTTCAGGAACCTGTAGGGAAGAGCTCTGTCCTGTCACTCCTACCAAAGTAGCATTCTCAAAGGCCAACAGCCACTGAGGTGTAGACCACTGTAGCTATGGAGAACGGTGATGAGCCTGGACTCACACCCCAAGCCAGTAGTATCAAGTGTCCCTCTTCCTCCACTAGGATGGTATCACTGGAAGTCTGAGCACCTCTCTCTCTCTCTCTCTCTCTCTCACACACACACACACACACAGAGCCTGTTGCTTTTATAAGCTGAAAAGTCAACTGCAGCTTTTAGCAACCTTAGCGTCTGATGGCAGTCAGGTCTTGATGGTGGTGACAGAAGGGAAGTTTTGGGGGGTCATGTTTTGTGTGTGTTACTTTGCTTGTCTTTTTGCCTCAAAAGTGGGTGTCAGTTGAACTTTTGACCAAGGGTAGAGGCCTGCTTAAGAGTATGTTTAAAATCCTGTAGCGCCTGCAGTCCTCAGGTCAAATTTATTAATTTTAGAATGAATATTTTTAGGTGATACAGCAATCGTTTGTCTATTTCCTGTACCGAATGACTAGGAATTGCTTTGATGCTGAACACTGTGCCAAAGTCGTGTCAAATACCATAATGGTTATCCATTATGGACAGTGTTTGGGGGAGCTTCCAGACTGATTTAGGTTGGGAAGCAGGAGTGGCATCCACTTCCTAAATTAGATGCTTCTGTAAACTCTATAACCTCTATAAACATACAGAAATGATGCTAGTTATAGAACAGAGTTCAGTTCTTTTGTACAAAGGTCGCTATGAGTCTTATTCGACTTGATGACACTTAAATCACTGTTAAATGAGACTAGTGTTGCTATATCTGGAGGAATATTCTTCCACTTTGTACATCACTCTTTGTCAATGTGCTGTATGAAGTAACCTGGGTTTGCTGTGATACTGAACCTTGTGCCATTGAGGTGTCAAATACCCTAATGGTTTCCCAATGTGGACAGTGTTTGGTGGAGCTCCCAGATGTAAAACAGGTTTGGAAGCAGGAATGTCATCCACTTCCTAAACCACATACCTCTGGAAACTCTATGAACTTAGAGAAATGACAATAGTTATGGAAAGACATTAGGTCTTTTGTTCATAGTCACTATGAGTCATGCTCAAATCAACAGCAATCAACAATAACAACAACGCACAATATCTTGGAACCCTGCTCTATCTTGAGCCAATCTCATGGTTTCCGACATACCTACCACCATTTTCCCAGGTAGTGTGTCAGTCCATCTTATCTGGGTTCTTTTTCTGCGCTGATATCCTGCCACCTTTCCAAGCATGAAGTCCGACAAGGACTGGTCCCTCTTGGCAACATGCCCAAAGTGTGTGAGACAGAGCTTCAAAATCCTTGCCTCTAAAAAGCAACTTGGCTTCATCCTCTCCAGGAATAACCTGTTGTTCTCTTGGCAGTCCACTGTAAATTCAATACTCTTCTCTAGTATCACAACTCAAAGACTTCACTTCTTCTGTCATCCTTATTTACTGTCCAGCTCTCTGATGCATAGCAAGTAATTGTCAAGACTATGGCTTGGATCAGGCACACCTTAGTCCCTAGACTGATATAACTGCTTTATAAATGGTTTACTTACGTGTGTGTATAAGTAATATATATAAATGGCTTATGTGTATGTTGTTGTTTTCGTTTGTATGAGTTGGAACCAATCTGCAGCTGACCACTGGTGGGTTTACAGAGGCAGTTAATCACATGGGAGGAGACTGCTCAGACTTCTCCCACGGAGCAATTGGTGGAATCGAACCACCTGCCGTGTTTGGGACTGCAGAGCAGCTTCTTGACTCTAGGCCACCAGAGCTCCATTATATATATGTAATTTCAATATAGAAAGGCTGATCACGGCAAAAAATAGGAATGAAAACTTCAATCTCAATGCCATCTCTGTTGCTTCAAACACATCTGACTCTCATTTTCCTACAATGGAGTGGGCTCTTTATGTTCCAATTGATATACCCACAAATTTGTACATCTATCCACTTAACGGTACTTACGACTTTATACATATACATATACA